ATAGAACAATAACAAAATTTATGTAAATTTTGTGAATTTGAAAAAATAACTAGATACTTTTCACATGCTTACTATATTTTTGTAATAGTAGTTCTATTAATATTTTTTGCCACTATTTTTTTTATTAAAATATAATGCAATAATACCTTATTTTGTATGAGAATTAGCTAATATATATTTATATATATATTTTTTTACATTAATATTAATAGATATATGAGTTCTTTTGATTTATTAAATTGAATTAGAAGCATTATAAAAAAGGTTATAGAGTGTATTTTTTGTTAAAATATTTAATTTTTAAAAAGTAATGAACATTTTTTTTCTTAGTTTTTAAAAGTTAGATAGAAAAATATTAAAGGATTATTTTGTTAAAAAAAGATTGATTATAAGATTATTAACCCAAGTTAATTCAAAATTAAATAAAATGCATATATTATTTTCTCTTTTAACTGAAAATATAAAATGCATATAATATTTTTAATTATATTATTTATATTTTATTACGTGATAATATGACTATATAAAAGGAAATTTATTATATTAACTAATAATATTGGTTTAATTATTAGTATGATAGTAATTATAATTAATATGTGATTGTAAAGAAGATATGATTATATAAAGTGTGATTATAGAGAAAATCGACTGTATTTTGAAATTTATTTTAGAAGAATCTCAGCAAGTGTAAATACAGAACTAAAATAAAAGGAACTATTCAAATCATTAATTTTAACTAAAATTTTAAGGTAAAAAATGGAATTCATTAAAATTTATAATGGCATTATTTTATTTTACGCAAAATTTGGTGTCGCAATAATAAAGCAATAGATTCTTTAAATCTTATTTAATTTTATTAGTAACTAGATAACGGAAATCGTTGGGAAGTCCGGAGCGATAAATACGGTGTAATTTAAGGTATACAATTACTGCATAACAGAAATATCTAGAAAAAAAATCGCATCGACTCAAACAACAAGTGGCGTACAGACTGACAAATTTATTAAGTTGCATAGTATTTAAAATCCGCTCCGGACTAATTAATAATAATAATAGAAAAGATAGCACAAAATACACTTTGTCAATGAAATTCTTACACAGCATATATGCATGATTGTCAAAATATTATGTGATAAATTTTAATTACACTTTGAAACGCGTCGTCTGCTACTAAAATCTTTCGAAAAATAGTAAATCGAACATTCTATTTTTATTAGGCCGAGAAATTTGTTGCGGAATTTAAACCGTAACCAGGTTAACCAAACAACGATTAAATCTAACTAAGGCCCGTCCTTAGAAAGGTTTATACAACTATTTACTTTATACGATTCTTTGTGTAGGTGGTTATTAGTCAGTCTATATGGAGACACGATAAAGTTTGAAAGTGTAACTTGGAATTTTATTACTCAAGATTTCGTATGTATCTTCTCAAGACTCGTCAACCTTTTTCTTTGAACAAAGCGGATTTTCGGGGTTTATATACAAAATTTCTAAATACTAATTTAGTAACATAATAAAAATAACGAATATATCAAAAATAATTTAATAAATAATTATAATAAAACAAATATAAAAACGAAAACTAGTATAATTATTTTAACGCATATAATTGATATAACTAATATAAATGACATTTTTGACATTATCGACATTTTCAATATTTTCAATATTTTTACGCAACTACTGCGCCATTCGTAAATGCCGATCTCTTGTAACACAGCGCATCATTGAACCAATTGGGAGAATATGTTTATAATTAACCATCATTCGTTTGAATTGTTTATTGTTTATAAATTTAATGTTACACCACTTTATACTAGCATAAAGATAGCAACAATAACAATATGCACCTTGCATTTAATAAATATATAAAGTCTTCCAATAATCTCGATGCGACCATATTTATAATTGATTCCTAAACTGAAACTAAAGGAAATATTATGACATTAATAAAAAAAATTTTTCTGAGGATGATAAACAGACTTGTTACATATAAATGTAATGAATGTCATAAATGGAAAAAACCTTCCATAGAAATCAACGGATTTGTCAATCATGTATTGAGATATATTCCAAATGTGATAAATGTGATCAATGGGGAAAACCTTCCATAGAAAATTCACGGATTTGTCAAGGTTGTCTTGGGATGTATAGAAAATGTCATGAATGTCACGTATGGAGAAGTCCTTCTATAGAAAATAAATGAGTTTGTCAAATATGTATTAAAATATATAATAAATGCAATGAATGTTATGAATGGAAACATATTTGTCATTATTGTCAAAAATGTGTCATTTGTCATGAATGGAGAAAGCCTGTATTTGATCAACGAATTTGCAGTTTATATAAGAAATGTGATAAATGTCATATATGGGGAAATCCTTCCATAGAACATTCCCAGATTTGTAAAGTTTGTATTTGGATGTATCGAAAATGTCATGGATGTCATGAATGGAGAATACCTTCAACAGAAAATCAACAGATTTGTCAAATATGTGTTAAAATATATAACGAATGTAGTGAATGTCATGAATGGAAAAATATTTGTCATAATTGTCAAAAATGTGTCGTTTGTCATGAGTGGAGAAAGACTGAATCCGATCAACGAACTTGTAAAATACATAACTTGTGTAATACCTTCCATAAAAAATCCACAGATTTGTCATCTTTGTATTTGGATGTATAGAAAATGTGATGAATGTTATGAATGGGAAAAACCTTCCATTGTAAATCAACAGATTTGTCAAACTTGTATCAAAATTTTTAACAAATGTGATGAATGTTGTGAATGGCGAAAATCTTCCATAGCAAATCAGCGGATATGTCAAAAATGTATTGAAATATGTATCAAATGTGATGAATGTTATGAATGGAGGAAACCTTCCATAGAAAATCAATGGATTTGTCAAATTTGTATTTTGAAGTTGAGAAAGTGTGATGAATGTTATGAACGAAGAAAACCTTCTAAACAAAATCCAAAGATTTGTCAAACATGTATTAAAAGATGTAACTTGTGTAATGAATGCCGTAAATGGAAAAATATTTGTTGTTCTTGTCATAAATGTGATCAATGTCATGAGTGGAAAAAGTTCATCAAAGAAGATCGAAGAATTTGTAGAATGTATAAGAAATGTAACAAATGTCATACTTGGGGAGCACCTTCTAAAGAAAATCAGCAGATTTGTCAAAATTGCATTGAAATTTATAAGAAATGTGATGAATGTAATGAATGGGAAATGTCTTCCATAAAAAATCAAAAAATCTGTCAAAATTGTATTTTACAATTTAGAATATGTGATGAATGTAATGAATGGAAATTACCTTTTAAAGAATATCCACAGATTTGTCAAGATTGTATTAAAAAATATAAAAAATGTGATAAATGTTATAAATGGAGAAAACTATCAAATAAAGATCCATGGATGTGTCAATTTTGTTATAAATTATTTAATTCTAGCAAAAATCAAGTTATTGATGATTTTATTAGATATACACAAATTAATTGTGACAATCAAACTGTAAAAATGGAGTTCATTCCTTACAATCAATTCAAAGATGTTGAATATATTGCGAAAGGAGGATTCAGTAAAATTTATAAAGCCATTTGGATTGATGGCCCAATTGAATATGGTAAAATTAATTTTGAACGGAAAGGTTCAACAACAGTTGCTCTCAAAAAACTCAATAATACTAAAAATATATCTTTCAAGGAGTTACGTGAGGTAATATTTATTTTTATTTAATAATATTATAACACATTAATGTATGTTAATAATTTTATTCTTTTTTTAATAAATTCAGCTAAAAATATATTTTAACCTAAATTTAAACTGTGGTCTATATAGTTCATTTCATATAAATGAGTATTATGGAATTACTATTGATCCTATTACGGAAGATTTTATGTTTATTATGAATTATTATGAATCTGGTGATTTGAGTCATTACATGGAAAAAAACTTTTTTAATATTGAATGGATTCAAAGGTTAGCAATATTGGATAATATTATAGGAGGACTTTATCATATTCATAATCAAAAATTTATTCATCGAGATTTACACAGTGGAAATATCCTTTATAATAATCTAGCAGTAATAAGTGATTTAGGAATAAGTAAATCCTCAACAGAATCAGCAAATAATGAGGAGATTTATGGTATTATTCCTTACATTGCTCCGGAGATTTTTCTAGGACAAGTATATACTACAGCCGCAGATATATACAGTCTTGGTATGATTATGTGGGAGTTAATGATGGGTAGAAAGCCTTTTTGGGATCGAGTTCATGACACAGATCTTATTATTGAAATATGTGATAATATTCGTCCTCCAATTCTTATAAATGCACCTGAGGGTTATATTGAATTAATGCAAAAATGTTGGCATTTTGATCCAAATAAACGGCCAACAATTAATTATTTAAAAGATGAAATTTATTCAATGGTAGAGGATGAATGGGAAAATATAATTGAATTTCATAAAGCAACAAAAATTATCAAGTCAACAGATATTGGGCCTATCGTCAATCATCCAAAAGCAATATATAAAAGTAGGCCTTTAAGTGATATGGTTGTGTCTGCAAGAAGTTTAAGGAGCAAATCTATTACTTTTGAATTAGGTGAATATTTGATTTTATAATAATCTTTATTTGCGACGTATATTCTAATTGACAAAATTCTTTCCAATAAAATTATGGCAAAAAAATTTTTACTTGAAGAGAATATATCGAATAAAGATGAAAATACTGGTAACTATTTATATTTTCGTTTTTATTTAATAAATTGTATTTAATTTTTGTGCATTTTTTAGATTATGTAACAAAAGCATTGGAATTTGATATATTAGTATAAACGCCCACTTAATTGAATACTTTACAATGAAATTGGGAGTTGGAATATATCATTAATAACTGACGAGCTGCAAAAGCCACATAATTACACTGCTGCGCCATAAAACATCAAAAATATATCTTTGGGCTGTGAAATTTCTTTGTTACATGGTCACTTGATTTCCTGTTATTTCGCACAATTTTATATATGTTTTAAGACAAAATATTTCGTTTAAGTATTTGTCTTTATCAAATTAGTTAGACCTTGTAGTATTCACTGGCCAATTTATCCACTGGACTGGCTAAAATGTCTCCATGCAGAATTGTCTTTTGGAGCAAATTGTATTCTGCAAAATATGAACGAGTTTCCATTGGGTATTTGGATAGGTCATTCCGATCATTTTTTTTATTATTATTATACACATAATATATTTCTTTCTCTTTTCTTTTTATTCTTTTCGATTATTCTTTGTTTCTACTTTTTAATTGAGATACTAAGATATTTAGTTATTTAGCTTGGTTTCGGTACAATTCCAGGTCTAACACCGTTCTGTATTTTTTATCGTGAAAAAAAAAATCTTATACAAATTCCCAAATATTTATGTCTTTTCTTAAAAAATTTTTTATCGTTCGCTCTCATCGGACTTATATTATATTTAAAAGTTATTTCTTTATTATATTATATATTAATTCATTATACTGAATTACATTTTTTTCTAAAAAAAAATTACATATAACTTTATAATAATAAGCATTACAATGATATCTTGTAATAAATTCATTATTACTTTTTTCAGATTCTAAGTGATCCTATTATGAAGAAGTTTGCCTTGACTGTAGAAACATCAGACTTGAGTGTAGAGATATCGTCAATTATTGTATCTAGTTTCTAAACGTTTAAAGTTAGAAATTTTGCAGTTATTAAAAGTAAATTGATCTTGAGGAATGATTCACTTAATTTATGAAATCGTTCAAATGATAATTGATCATATTCCATAAATAATAAAAAGCACCGCCTTCAAGATCGGTAACAGTGGAAAGTATTTACATTAAATTAAATAACTAATTTTTATAAAGTAAAAATTATCATTGCTCCTTTAATAATTTTCATTACAACACCTTTGAGCCGCATCCATTAATGGGAAAGTGTCGACGGGCAGAAAATCGTTGTAGTTATTTGTCCATTATGTCAATTTTTTTAAAAGTGGTAATATATACATATATATTTGTATAAACTTTCTAACCACATCATGATTAATAATAAAATAAACTATTGTTAAAATTTAATACTCTTAAACGTAATACTTTATTTCCGAATCTAAGTATTTATGGTTCTCGGGTTTCGACGGTGTCATTGGCAAGGCTATAATAAAATCATTGGTAAAACCATCGAAATCATAATAAAATAAAAGACAAAACTATATTAAAGACTTATTAATAAATATAAGGGTTCGACTTTTGCTATTTGCTAAAAAGAGTTTTGCCAAGCACTATAGTATTGCAGTATGAAGAAGACTTAGTTAAATTAGTAGATAAAGCGCAAGTAAGGTACGAATATTTCAAGGTGGCTTAAGAGCTTGCAAACTAAAATTCAAGATTTCTGAATGGCTTATGAGTCTTTACGAGTATATTAGAATTTCTAGTGGGATTTTATTTATTTCTAACACTGCATGTCTAATATATATTTAATTGCTTTAAAGTCTTATCGATTAATTGGCTAATTATTCATTGAATAAATAATTTATATGCAATTTGAATACCATTTGTACATAAATATATCAATCAATTATTGATTTATTATAAATATAAAAAATAATTGAAAAATCTAAAATTTCTAAACACATGATAAAATAACAGAAAAATATCTATATTATACTTTCTTGTCAAATAAATTTCAATAAAAAGAGTTTATAATCTTTTACGAATAATAACTCGTAATTGATTCAGGTTTCAAATGATTTTATTATAAGTAATTTAAGTTAATTGAATAATTGGAATTGGACATTCATGAGTAAAAGGGTCGAAAACCACGCAAGGAAATTATTGCGCTTTCTTGGAGATTTAATTACAGTACATAACAACTAGGGAGGCCTGAGGCATAATTCAACAATCTACCTCAAAAACGTTTGTATTCAAACCAACCTGAAAGAGAAACGAACCTAAAGAGCGCAAAATCGGAAATAAGAAATCATTCAATCTCTGTTCACGAATCGATTCAAAATAGTAAAAATAATAATGATTGATCTTTAATAGCCTAAATGAAAATTATAATTTCGCAATACAGATCCAAATCGAAAGAAATTACCTAATATACGGCTAGAGGCGTCTAAAAAATAAAAACAAATAATTACCTAAAAAAAAAAAATTATTTAATTAATTAAATATAAAGTCTTACCGCACCAGTTCGAACTAACTTTCCGAGAATATAAAACCTACCTATATCAGGAAAATTAACATTATCCCTGCAGCTCGAAGTTTTCAAACAAAAAAAAAAATTACCTGCTACTTGCAGAAGTATTACAACTCGAAAAATGAACCTAAAGAAAAGACGTAAATACAAAAAAAAAAAAATAATATCAATCGCCTGCGTGATCCAAAAAAAAAAAAAATAAATCTGAATCACCGGCAAATAATCCGTTCTGAAAAGGAAAGAAAAGAGTGCAAGATTTTTTAATAAATGAATATTTTGACTTAAAAGTCTTATAAGAAAATTTAATTTTATGATAAATTCACACAATTAAACGGTTTTATGTTAATATACAAGTACTATATTTGATACTTTTCACTGTGGATGGATCAAAATTGCTTCTATAGTAAATTCCTTTTTTCAGCGCTCAATTAAAATATTAATTGCACTTTATCAAGGGAACGGTAACCGTTCTAATCCGAAGCAAAATTCCAGATAAGATTTATAATAAAAATCATAATTTATCAATTTTTAATTGCAGACATTGCATTTGATATGCCTAGTATTTGATTGTCCTCCGGTACTAAAACTTTACGATATTACTATAGATTTAAATATCCACTTTCCCTAAGTCTCCATAATTATTCCGATGTCGGACAGTTTTCCGACTTGACAAATTAATTTGTTAAATCTTAAATAATGAATTCTTTTTTTTTGACATTTGTGTTCAAAATAAATCAAAAAAAAAAAAAGAAAGTATCTTTTTATAATGTTATAGAATATTCTATAATTCATTTTCATTTTAATTCAAGATGACATTAATGGTTTTAAATCTTTTTATTAAGATATAATTCTTTATTTTTCTTACTATTGAATAGCCAAATACATTTTAATATTTTAATGAAATATATTATAATCGAGTACTCCTAATTTAGATTTTAGAATCTCATTTATCTTGATCTTTTTAAATAATTGAAATTATAAATAAATATTTCTACTTTCAATTTACTTTATTTTTGGAGTCATTATCAAAATAGCTTTTTTAGGCAATTTATATATATCAATCATTATTTTTGGTAATTAAATGAATGTAGCTTATTATATAATTATATTCATCATCAAAAAGAATTGCTGATTAATTTTTTTTACCTTATATTCAATATTTATAACTTTAATATATATTTTTGTAAGATATTTATTTTTGAAAAATCTCTGATATTTATTATTTAATGATTTAAATAAAAATATTTTTCTATAGATACGGCCAAAGGAGAGAACCAAAAGTAAAAACAAAAATTAAAAAATTTAACAAAATCAAAAGTAGAAAAAAAAATAAAATAAAATAAAATAAAACGAGGTAAATCCAAAATAACAAAAAAATTCAACAAACAGATTGTTTATATATTGTAATCAGTTTTTCAATAATTGAAATAAAAATTTAATTGAAATAAAAATTTTATAGTAAAATTTTATAGTATTGTACATTCCACGTAAATATAAAAGCTTTCTGCGTATTATCATATAATTTTTTTTTGTGATTGTCAGTTAAAAAATCGTTTTGCCTTATATAAAATCGATAGAAACGATTAATAGCGAACAATCGATTCAAATACTTAGATTAAGAAATGCTTTATAATTGAATAAAAGATTTACTGAAAAGAAGATTCATTTATAAAATAAAAAGAATTTTTTACCTTAATTTTGATTCGAGTAAAAAAATCTTGTAAAACTTGTTGAATTTAATAAAGTGTAATATTATTGGTCAGATTCCCTAAATAATAAAATCAGATACTTCCTTCCTTTGATAATTTATTTTTTTTTTGCGTAAATTACTGTATATACATATTGTTGTATTCAGTTCTTTCGTTTATGTATTTATAAACAATTTATAAATGTAAGCAGAAGGTTTTATTCAGTAATTCTTGAATAAAAATGAAGTAATTATTACAAGAATTTATTTAATATGTCAAATTTAGTCAGTGTTGCCTCAACGTCGGCGCTCTACACTTTCGCTTTTTCAATATATTAAACGCCAAGTAATAAATTCTAACTACGCAATTACGAAACTGTTACATAAAAATTATATAATAAACTACTAATAAAATCAGAAATTACAAATGAAATAGTGAACTGTGTTACAAAATGCGAAATTATAAAATTTTAAAGGGCGAAAATCGAAATTATCGCGAAGGTGTAAAGGGAAGATAGCGAAGGGAATGATTTGCAAAGAAATATACTAAAGGTGAGCATGGGATATTGAGCTGTTTTAGGATTTCCAGCTCGTATTTATAAAAGATTATTAATTAAGCCAAACTGGCGTCTTGACAAACTGGCACTTGACAAACTAGCAACGTGTCAAACTGACAAATGATCGTCAAAGGGACTAACTGCAATTATCAAGGGCGATCTTCAAACAAAATTATGAAGATTTCGGCCGGAATTTGCATTTAATCGTAACAATATCTTTAGATTTAGATTAATATTTAATTTTGTCAAAATTCTCAGAACTTGACTTAGTTATTTTCCCACACAACTTCATCGCGATATCTCAAGGGAAGGAGTTAGACTGAAAATTTAGTGCGAATGAAAAACGCATACAAATTTTTTACTCAGACATAAATCCAAAATTTCAAGAATGCAAACCAAAACATATCAAAATCATTGATAAAATCAGGATAAATCATTAAATGTTTCGTGAAGGATGAGTAAATGAGAAATTTGTATTTAGATAATCGTTCTGAGAAGGTTTACGAATATATATTTGTATATGAAAGCCTGTGATGTCAAATACACGTGGTTAAATTGATCATTTATTCGGTTATTTTGTACATAAGTAAGAAATTCAATAACTTATAAATATTAAAAAGGCATATTTTGAATATTAGAACTGTTTCTATTTCAAAAATCCTTTAATCATTTATTTCTGGAAAAAAAAGAGTGAGAAATTCATTTAATATAATAAATTAATTACTAAAATATAAATACATTAATAAATACTATACAGTAATATTAAAGATAATCTAATATATCAAGTTCTTCATGATTATCTGTATTTTTTGATTGTTTCGTATCATTTTTGTCATCAATTTCAGCAGTATATAGATCATAATTTTTACAATTAACATCAATGCTGTTAAGCTCATCCATAACTCCTTGAATATTCGGTCTATCATCTGGTTTATATTCCCAACATTCTATTTAAATATATTAGTTACTACATTATAATAAAGTTTAATGAATAACTGATATTATAAATTTATTTACTTACTTTGATAAAGTTCAACAAATTTAGTATTTGTGTTTGGAATAGGTATCTCTCTCTTTCCATTTAAAATAGCATCCTTTAGACCAATATTATTTGTATAGGATTCAAAAGGTACTGAACGACTTGTTAATTCCCAAAACAACACTCCTAAACTATAAATATCAGATTTTTTAGTTAATGAATATGAATGATCTGAAGAATCAAAATTTATCGGATCCACATAAGGAATCATGCCATTCAAATGTTTTGTATAACAAACTGATTGTTTTAATTGACGTGAAATTCCAAAATCTGCTAATTTAATTGTATGCTGATGTACTAATATATTTTTAGAATGCTAAAAACAAAAATTTTACATAAGTTAATTAATCAATCAATTATAAAATTAATAAAATGATAAACTTACAAGGTCCAAATGTATAATTCCAATGTCATGTAAACATAAAATTGCACTTGATATTTCTTTAGAAAATTTTAATTGATTTTCCCATTTAAATGTATCATAATTATTCTTTAAATATTCTCTTAATGTTCCATTATCTGCATACTCAAGAACAAGTAAATAATTTGCTTTCTTAGTGATTTCATCTATTAAAAAAAAAAAATTAAAATAAATAAGTTTAGATAAAATTTAATAAGAATTATTGCGTAACATTTTACCTTTTGATTCTGTAACTCCACAAAATTTAATTATATTTGGATGATAATAAACCTTCTTCATTAAAGTTATCTAAATAAAGTATATTCATCAATATAAATTAATTTCAATGATAAAAACCTGGTATTAACTAACCTCATTAATAATATCGCATATAGGTATATTAATACGAAATCTTTTAATTGCAAATTTTTATGCAGTATTTTTCCAACTTGCAACATAAACAGTAGAAAATGCACCAAATCCAACCTCAGAAATATTATTATAATCTTTAAAACTGTAATATATAATTTCTCCTTTTGCAATTGATTTTTCAAACCATTTAGATGATTCTTCAACTTCTCTAAAATGACTAAATTGTGTTTTTCTTTCTATTACATTTTGATACCAATTTGTAAACCATTCTTCATGTTCTTCACTTATGTTTTTTTTAATGCTCGAAACGACATTTCGCATATTTGGGTGCTCATTAGAAAGTCTAGGTTGTTTCGGCGCCTCGTCTACTGAGAAATCTGTATCCTTTGCAGGAAATTCCCTAAGTTTACTATCTTTCATATAAAGATCTTGTAATATAGTAAAGATTTTAGAAAATTGAAGCCTAAAACTTGGATCATGATGAACAGCTAAGAAAGATTATAACAGTAAATTTACAGAAGTTGTGATTTTTTCTAAAAAAAAATAAAAATATAAATATATAGTTGATACCTTTTTTTACAAGTTCTTGATATTCTTTTGGCATGGGAGAGTCAAGAGAAAATGGCTCACGATAATTTTCTTTGCAAACAAGCTCAATAATAAAGAGGATATCATAATAATTCTCATAAGGAGTTTTTTCTTCGGCAATTTCCCAAAGTAGTATGCCAAAACTATAAACTTCACTCTTGATATCATATTTTGACCTGCTTTTTAATTTTTCAGGGGAGGTATACCGTATAATTTCTAGTGTTGCGGCTTGATTTGTTGTTCTATCAGTAATTGCTCGACTTGATTTAAAATTTGCTATTTTGGCCGTATCTCGATCAATAATTAGGATATTCTCAGCTCTAATATCATGATGAACGATCTGTTATTCCCCAATAATAACAAATGATTTTTTTTTAGAAATTAAGAATTACTTTGACAGGGAATTAAAATTATAATATGAATGATAATTACCGAAACAGAGCTCAGAAAATTCAATCCTTTAGCAATGTCTAGAGCAAATTTTATTTTAACCTAACATCAAGAGTACCATGCTGTTTATAATATTCACGTAAATTTCCATACTCAGCCCATTCAGTCACCAAGTAAAATTTATCATCATATGCAGTTAAACCAAAAAATTTAATAATACAATGACATGATTCCAATTTTTTTAATATCGTAACTTGCTTTCTAAATTTATCCTTTTCTGCTATACTGCTATTTTTATCAGCAACTAACTTTAATGCAACAAAATTATTCAATCCATCTTTCCTCTTGTATTTTTTAACCTTTGTCAGTCTTCGATTACCTTTAATTTCTTCTTCTTCAAAATCATTAAAGTTAAGTATTTCACTTCTAAATGCATCATTATTTGTCGGTATACCTAATTTAGGTTCCGTCAAGATTTTATTAAATTCATACAATTCCTTGATTTTAGCTGAGATGTTACTATTCCCGTCAGTTACACCACTGCCGATGTTTTCAAGATACTATATGAAATGAGAAATTGTGAAATAAGACTATGAACATATTACACATTTATAAAATCAATTGACGCGTATAAAACATTACCTGAAAAAACTCTTTAATATCAGATTTAATAATTTCATTATCTTTAGCTACTTTATCAGCATTTATACTAAAATCAACTGCCAGAGAAAAGTGCAATGCTTGTATATTTAAATCAAATTCATTGCTTAATTCTTTAACACTATTTTCAATATATTTAGCTTGAATATACTTAGTTAAACCTGTTAACTGGGAAATATCCTCAACAAAATTATGAATTTTACCGATAACATAAACCAAACTTTGTAAATTAATAAGATTTATTACTGAAAAAAAGTCTATATTTTCATCTCTACGATTTTTTAAATTCCTTACAGCTGTATCAGCTATTTGAATTTTATCCAAAAATATCCCACATATTTTTTTATTATGTTCAGCAGTTTTATATATTTTTACTACCTCATTAAACACTCGGATTACTTCCTTTATAAGAGGTAAAAAATTAGAAAATGTTAATATGGTTTCTATTGTACTGTTAGCTAACATCGTTTCATTAAGCTTTGATTTTATAAATTTTCTATCATCAAATTCTTCATCATAATCTAAAAAGTCTTCATTTGAGTCTTCATTATCGGTATCTACCTCAATTGACATTTCATAATCTATTTCGTAATTATTTACTTCTTCATTCAGTAGTTCAGTTTCTTTATTATTATTGATCATTTTTGAAACAACTTGCTTTACAACAGTTTTACTATCACTATCAAGAGAAATAATAGTTTTAAGAGTTGAAACGACTTGTTGCATATTTGGACGCTCATCAGTTTTGTTTTTCCAACATTCTATTGAATGAATCGGGATTAGATTTCGTTTTTTTAAAAAAAATTATTTTTATAATTTACCTCGATATAGATTACTATATTCAGGTGGTGTTCCATCAATAATGATTTCTCTTTTGCCATTTAATATAGTCAGAATTAAATTTAAATCGTAATTAACATCTTTAAACGGTCGATATCCACTTGAAATTTGCCACATCAAAATTCCAATACTATAGACATCGGATTTTTTATTTAATTTGTATTCCGTATTTTTATCAAAATTATTTGGATCGATATAAGGTATTATACCATACGCTTTCGATGCAATTTTTGATTCTCCAGCAATTTTTTTTGATAAACCAAAATCTGCTAATTTAATAATTTTCTGATTTACAAGTATATTATCAGCATGCTATCGTTTAAATAACAAAATATTTAATTATTCAAAGTCGATAAAATAAATTAATAAATGATTTTATAAAAAAAATTAATTTTACCAGATCGCAATGAACAATATCACAATCGTGTATATATTCTACAGCACTTGCCAATTGCAAAGCTAGCTGATATTTGTCATTCCAATCAAGGTCATTAAAATGTTTATTTAAATAAGCATTTAATGTTCCGCCGTCAGCATATTCCAAAACTAGAGTATACTTGATAGAGTTTGCTATCCATAAAATAAAGAAAATTTTAAAATGTTTGTCAAAAGTTCTGTAAATATATAATTAATATTTACCAGTTTTTTCCTTTGTGATACCAAAAAATCGAAGAATATTTGGATGAAAATCAACTCTTTTATGTAATTTTATCTATAAAGAATTTAAAGAAAATTAATTCAATATGGTTAATTAACAAACTTTTAAATGATTATGATTATTACCTCATTTACAACTTCTTTCAAAGTTATCGTATCGTTATTAAAAGATTTCAAAGCACAATAACTATCTATATTTTTCCAATTCGCACGCGTAACGTTTCCAGATGAGCCATTCCCGATTAGTTGTAAATCGTTGAAGTCCGAATATTCATAATTGATAATATTCATTAGAAATTGATTTTTCTAACCAATCGACATAAATATTTGGTATTTCAGGGATTTCTCCTTTTCTTTATATAAAAATTTAATTTCCCTTTAAATAAAAAAAAAAAATTTTTTCGGAGTTCAAATTCCGATGCAGAGTAACCCACATGATTTGTAAATCTGCATCCATGCTGCGCCATTTGGTCTAGTAAATTCGACGAAGAAACTTCTTTATAAATGACCTAATCTTTAATTTTTATCTAAATTTATTATTGCATTAATTTAGTTCGCATATACGCTTTTTTTAAAACATAATGTGACGACAAAAAAGAAATTACATGAACTTTTTAGTCAAAATGGGTCATGGACTAGCAAAAATGTAAATATCCCTTTTTTTGTGAAATGGATTGAAAATTTGATCGTCATAAAATATTGTTTACGGTTTATTTTTAGAAAAATGCAATATGATCAATTTTGTAAGCTTAAAAATTAGTTTATATACTGCATAAAAAAAAAAAAATGACAGTAAGAAGCATCGAGAAATAATTCGGATTACTAGATCGAAATGTTAGTCACTTTGAGGATAAAATTGAAAAGCAATCATTTTAATATAATGAAAGGCCTTTAATAGAATGAGATTGAGAGTTTTAGAGTATTGTAAAATAAAGATACGAAAACTTTTAAAAGATTAATAACGAAATCGGATTCATAATCTATATTTTTACGAAGATAAATAGACAGTAATGAAATTAATCGCGGTAATTTTTATACTCATCCTACGCCAGTCCTTAATATAAGTCAGAATGTTATTCGGTTTAAATTTACATATCAACTTATTTTATCAATTCTGTTGTTATTTTAATGTCAATATTTCCGAAAAATTATATTATCAAGATTATTGTATTAATAGTTTAAATTTAAACCTTATTTACAACTTTAGACATAAAATCAATTATAAATAAAATTACCGTAAATGAATAGTATAAATTCTTGTTTTAGAATAAGCATATATAACAGTTGTTGAAATGGTTTTTCCATTTTAAAAAAAATTTAACAAAAGTAATATAATATATATGCATATTTTTCTCCATTTGTGCCCATGATATTTTAAAAAATATTTATAAAAGTATGAATTTGTTAAAATATTTATTGTTAGTTTTCATTTTATAAATCAAATTCTTGATATTAATTCTATTATCGTTATTTTATTTATTTACTAATTTTTGAATTCGAATATTCCAAATGTATTTTTTTTTTAGTTTCATTTTCATTTTCGATGTTTTTAATTTTAAAATCATTCTTTATTGATATTGATCCTCTTTCGGCTTTGCTTTTTTTTATTTAATTTTTAATTTTTACTTTTGGCTTCGATCGCTGGTCGCGGCTGATTTTATTATTTTGTTCATCTTTCGAGTTGGATCACTTCGGAAGGAATAGGTAAGGTTTTTTTTTGATCATATTGTTAAATATATATATATTTTTTAGGTCAAATTATTTTTACGGGGGGTTTTTTTTTTGTTTTTTACTTTATAGATTCCTACATTGGTTGATCGCTTCAGAAGACAAAGGTTGAAGTTCTTTCTTGGTTTGTATTTGATAAATAGTTGAACTTTCCATAGTGAATAAAGGTGGTGGAGGGTAGTTTCAGTTACGCCTTTCTATAGTCGCACTTACTGTGCCATTAAAAAAATATTCCAATTCCTAGCGGAGAAAACTGTCATCTTGAATAGAGTTCTTAGTTAAATGGTTTGTTTGAACCGGCCTAAACCTCCCATACTATATATTTGATAAATGATTTTTTTTAAAAAAAAAAAACTGGAATCCATAAAGAGAATTGTGTTAAATTTTTTAAAATAAAATAAAAAAGTGGTTTATATTAACGTTAAGGAGACTAAAGAGACCTAATTTATATTTAATAAACGTATGCATAAACCTTTTAACTGTTCTTTGATTTTTATATTAACAAAATAAAAAAATATTATAATAAATTTGGTTTATTTATTACTTATATATGTAAGTATGAAATAAAATACTTTTACTCTAATTTTAGCGAAATCAACTTAAATTATTAAAAAAAAATTATATATATATATTAATTTTAATTTTTTTTTTTTTATATCTAAAAAACCAATTGAAATAAAACAAAATGAATAAAAGTTACATATTTATTTTTTAATTTATTTTTTAATTTAATTAATTTTTAACGATTTTGCGCTCATAAAAATTCGTGATTTTAATAATTTTCAATTCTCCACTTCACATATAAAAAAAATTATTATATTTGTAAAAAAAAACTATAATTTGACAACAATATAAACGATTTTTGTATTCAAGTAAATCACGATCTAAACCCAGTAGAATAATGTTCTAATATAGCATGCCTATAATTTACCACCCGACTTATTTTCATATTCCGAGTGTCT